AAATTAACAAACAAAGAAATCAAAATGGAGTAGTTATTCAATAACACATAATTAAAGCCTACCTATACAATCATAACAAAACCGAGACCTACGTAAAGAAAAGCAACCTTGTTAAAAACCACTGACATTAAAGTAACCAGCGTCAGATTTCCGATAAAATTTGCTTACGCACCAAGTGCGAAATTCATCAACGTGGGCCTGTCTTCCGGTCGTAATACACTCGAGAGATACGACTCAACGTGTCTGCGTAGTGCGTTTAATGATAATCGAGGGAATCACTGGTAAGTATTATAATATCACATGGTTTGTGCATTTCTCCAGCGTGCGAATGGTCGGGCGGGGCAAGCGCCGCGTATTTTTACTCGGTGACGTCACGAACTCGGCCTCCGCATATTGTATGGTCATGGAAAGAACTCCCGAGCGACGCGCCGCAGCGGAAAAGGGACTGTTTTAATTAATTTGTAATCAAATACAGATAAATGGCAACAACTACATAATTTTGTCATTATATTAATTTATGTTTATTTTGCCGATGGCGAGATAAAATAAAGATAGATTTGTGTTGAGTCGAGAAAGTGGAATATTGTTGCTATGAGTAATTAAAATGTATAAAAATTAAGAATGCATATTTAAGTATAGGTAAGTACCTATACGTATAGGAGTTAGCCTATTATTCTGTGGTTACTGGTTAGGCACGCACGCACAGAAAATAGAAACAATTTATTGTTGTGACTACAAACAAGTTCAGAATGCGCAGATTCCGTGGCCATACAATGCCATCAAGGTCCGTCGTGGTGGCCATGTCAACAGATTGGTCTCACAGCTGTTCAAACACAATAATATTTTATCAAGCGCAATAACTAGAGGTTTCATCAATAAAATCTGATTACGAAATCAATTTCATAATAAAATCTGTACCTATGCATTCGAACAGGTAAAAATTACGGCCTAAATTTTAGTTAGAAAAAGAAAGAGAAATTCTAGTCAAAATACACATATATTAGGTACCTAATGTGCAAAGTTGTAGAATTCGCCACACTTCAGGTAAACTTTCACTGGTACCTACCTAATAGCACGAATATTATTGATCCCATATCTGCATATGTAGATATTACATGTATTTTACAAAGATAACACTAGTCAGTGAACGAGTTATGAAAGAAGAAATAAATAGATCATTTCGTTAACACATTACGTAAAGAATATAATGATTTTAGTCAAAGGAAGGAACTATGGTGTGACCGGTGCGAGACCGAGAGGATTCACGTGTGCCGGCGCGCAGCACGTGAGCAATAAACTTGACATTTACATGATTATGTAACACCTAGCTAGGTGTTATGTTAAATGAAACAGAGTGGTATAGTAGTATTTTGTTTATTAGTCAATTTTTAACAGCAATTATAAGTGATAAGTTAAATGTCTCTTTTCACTACACAACTACATAATAAACTCTAGCCACCATGTTACAGAAACATAGCCTCATATTCACAATAACAAAGCTACATTTCATGCACATGTCCAACGTAATTGCTAATTCCAAGTTTCCATTGAAACTTAAAACTTACAATCACTGTCATCATGTATTTACATTATAAAAATATTTACAACTTAATCAGCATTAAATACATTTAATCCACACTTGCAATCAGTCTCACTTAGCTCTCCGTACTAAAACGCATGGAGTCTACCCAATCAAACTAAATTTGGCTAGCCATTCTTACAACAATTAATTACAATCAGAAACGTAATTAGGCAACATAAATGAGTAAGTTCCTACAACGGCACTAGTAGGAATGTCCCATCACTAGTTTTGAGCATATAAACCAAATGCTTCTGACAATTCTTCCTGTAGGTCCAAACATGTCACTAGGATGATTTCAGGTTCAACAAAGTCATACCACTTAAAGGCCTTCTAGTATGGCTTTCTCAGACCTAGTTTGAAAGGAACTTCTGTCAGAACCACCTTCATTATACACTGAAATCCACACTAATGAGATATCCAGTCTCTTAATTAATTGGGTAGAGTATCCATAAGAATTTCTTTTGTTCCTGATGAGAGACGGTCAGGGAATTTGATGTCGAAAACAACTAGCAAGTCTCCTTTCCGCGTTGGTTCCTTGGGTAAAGGTAGACCATAGCCAGGGAACCTCTTCACAGTGTGTGGTTTCACTACTTCAGCTTGAAGATTAACTGTCAGCTTCTCGCCCGACATGGTAGGTACTTCAATGATGGTACCACAAAGAGCCTGCAACAAACAAAACAACATTGGTTATCATTATGTCACAATGAGTCATCCAACATGTAACTCTATTTAGTCGTAACTACAACACATTCAAATTAAAGAAAGTTAAGGAATTAATGTCCCTTATGCCTAATAATAAGAGAAGCATGTAGGGCAGCCTATAAAGTATTCAGTACATAATTATTATAGTTCAAAGTCAATAATTTGCACAACTAATGGAAAGTACTAGACAATTCTAAAGACTAAACATATTAGTCACCAGTAGGTCAATCAAAGACTTTTCTAGAATGTAGTATGTTGGCATAATGGATGCATGTTTATCAGTATTTAGTAAACAACAGACACTAACACAATATGTAATCAATGTCAATAAACTAGTTATAAAGTCATTGATGCTCACCTGTTTCAATGAGATCTTGGCTGAATATCTGATATCACTGCCTTCCCTCTTGAACAATGGATGTGGTTTATCTCTGATGATGAACACAATATCAGCTGGGATCTTGTTGCGACCCTGATCACCCTCCTTCTGGAACGTGATCTTCGTGCCAGCCTTCCAGCCAGGTTTCACATGAATTGTAAGAACTTTATCTTCCTTCTTTGCAGTACCGTCAGGCTGCAGGACACGACGAGATATCTTCATCTTTTTCACACAACCACGCGCGATATCCTCCAGTGACACGTACAAGTCGTGTTCGATTGGCGGGTCTTGAGTCTTCTCTTTACGGCTGGGAGATCCGTGGAAGTTAAAACTGTGACTGCGGAATGCACCACCGGGACCGCCAGGACGTGCTGTTCCCATTCCCATATTCGCGAAGGGGTCCATGTCTACATCCATATCGCGGTCGAAGAACATGGTAGTGCCTCCGCCACCGCCGTTCATGTCGAAGAAAGCTTGGAATGGGCTGGCTGAGCCAAAGAACTGCGCGAATGTCGCCCTTGGGTCCCCGTGGAAAGTGTACGAGAACGACTGGCCACCTCCAGGTCCATTGTGGGATCCCATTCCACCCTTGAGTCCCTCCTCGCCGTGGGCATCGTAAATCTCACGTTTCTTCTTGTCTGACAACACTTCATATGCCTCAGCAACTTCTTTGAACCTCTCCTCGGCACCAGCTGCCTTGTTCTTGTCCGGGTGATACTTCAGTGCCAGCTTACGGTACGCTTTCTTTATGTCGTCATCAGAGGCGCCCTTTGAGAGTCCTAATATTTTATAGTAGTCTTTACCCATTGTGAATCCTTATCCTAGAACAAAAAACATTTCCCGTTAGCCTTAACGTCTGACACCATTTTAGGAGATGTAGAGCAATGATCCGCGCTATTTAAATTCAAGATTTTTTCGTAAATATAAATACAAACAACTAAATTCTAGTTTGGGAAATTACTAACGGTAATTATGGAACACTTACCTAGTCACTTAAAGCTTCAAATATAATCCAAGTAGTTATAATTAACGATTTTTGGTATTTCTCACACACAACACTTTTCACACCTTACTGTATCAACTTCACGTTTCAATAAAACGCTGCGCCGTCGTTGCGCCAAAATATATACATTAAAACGTCTAGAACGTTCTAGGGCCTTCAACCTCTGTGAAAACGAGACAAATTATAAAACGCAATGGCGTCACTTCTGAGTTAGAAAGAGATGAATATAAATTTGGTTGTTCAGGACTACTGAAAGTTGTAGAGTTCACGTCATTTATCACGTTCCGATTAGGGAGACAGTATGTTCTCTATGACTCTTTGGTACTTGTTGTTTTTCAAGTTTGTTCTCTTTGGACGTTGATTAAGTAATTTGCTCTGTAATTAGAAAAACTAATTTATAACAATACTAGGATTAGGAAGTTAAAAAAAGGCGGACATAAAGTCACTTTTTATCCACACATCACATTATCAGACATAGGAAAAATACCGATGTCCTTCGTGTCAGTATTTGTATGCTGCGTGTTAGTGTGGTGTAAGTGTATAATTTTACTAACGTACCAGAGGTTGTCTGACTAGTATGTAATAATCTGTGAACTAGTGTGAACCAAGTGCCACAGTCATTGTTTCAAGATACTGTGTCCGCCTGTTTTCAACGTGCTTTTGTAACAATACCCTTCCTTCACCGGGTAGAAAGTAGAAACAAAGTGTAATACAGATCATTTGATGTTAACCAGCCGCAATAATCTAATAATGTACGTATGCATTAAACGGCGAATAAACCCAATATCAAATAAGTATTAGACAAACAAGGAAGGAAGCTTTTTTTTTTGTTCAATTACAGCGGCTGTCAAATATTTAACGCCCAATCGTGTGTGTGTGACACAAGTTAGACAAATAACGAGAGTTGCACTCTAGCGCTATCTTGTGAGCAAAAATACGATTTGATCACATTATTACAAGTGTTATTAAAAATAATATAATAAAAAATAGTTGACTAGGTATGACCTAGTAGTAAATATTATGTATTTACGTTGTCTGGCGAATAGTGGTTTGTTTTGAACTGGTACCTACGCCTACCCTTTTGAAGCTTAAGGGTGTGATGGTACGATTTTATGGAAAAGAACCAGTGTTGCAACATTTTTCAAAAATTATAAAAAGGTGGCAACATTATTGACTCCTCCCCTTGTCCTTGGCTTGGCCCGCCTTTAGAAGTTTGACAACTAGCTGTCAAATTTCACGTCAGGTGTCATGTTTTGTATTGCCGATGTTTGTAACTCGTGTTATTTTTTTTTTTTTGTAAATGAAAGAAATATAAATATTCAGTGTTTATTCATCTAACAAGCCTTAAGAATAACGCGTGCCGGCAGCCTTTGTAATCTATATCGTAATATTTTTCGTAAAAGTCTTGTATGAGCTCTTCGACCTGTAAACAATGTCAAACGATTTAATATTGCAAAACAAATGTGCGGCGTGCAGCGAAATTGCCCACGAACCATTTATAGAGTGTGTTGAATGTGAAATCAATCTATGTACAGCATGTTTCGCCTCCGGTCAAGAAGTGGGAAGTCATAAGAACGATCACAAATATGCCGTGCGGCGGAATGACTTTCCTTTGTTCGAAAACTGTAACTGGTCAGCCAAGGAAGAATGTAAACTGCTCTCAGCATTATCAATATACGGCTACGGAAATTGGGAAGAAATATCTAAAAGTGTACATACAAGGTCAAAACTCGAATGTCAAGAGCATTACAAGAAGTATTACATAGAAAATGTTCAGTTCAAAGAGCTGAAGCTGCTACCGGAAACAGAACCATCTTTGTTTCCAAAACCTGTGATCCCTTATTTATATAGTACAGAAATTTGTAGTAATCCACCCAGGAATAACAATGCAGATCAACATTTAGCTGGATACAACGCTTACAGGTCTGAATTTGAATTAAGTTATGATCACAATGCAGAAAGCATTTTCAATATAGAGGATAGTTATTCTGATGATGATGGTGATGATGATGAGGATGATGAAGATTGTATGGATTCTTTGAAAGTGTCTCTGGTCAGTTCTTTGAACACTAGGCTTAGAGAGAGGCGGAGGAGATACAAAGTTATCCAACACCATGGTCTGATAATGCCAAACAAATTGATATCCTGGCTACAGAAGTTTGAGTCAACATTATCTAGGCAGAAGTGTGATAGACTAGTCTCCTTTATGCAGTTCATGACAGGAATGCAATTTGATGCATTTATGGAGTCAATCAGTTTGGAACAAGAACTTATGCAGAAACTAACACGGCTGTCAGAGTATCGGAGAAATGGCATTAGAACATTGTATTCTGCAAAGTTGTATAGACAGTTGAAAAAGGAGAATGATCTAATTGTAAAAGAACAGAAGCATGCTACAAGTGTGATGGCAAAGAAATATGACAGTCAGTCGCCTGTGAAGAACTCCATGCTGTTTGGTAAAAGTAATCAGTTGCTGAAGTATAAGAGAACATCAATGCCGCTGGAGATTGTGGATCTACCAGGGTTCAACTTACTCACAGACACCGAGAAAGTATTGTGTTCTAACCTACGACTGGTCCCTGAGAATTACTTAGAGATTAAGCATCAATTAATTACACAGAACAGTAAGATGGGCTTCCTACGTTTGCTGGATGCTAGGAGAATCGTTAAAATAGATGTGAACAAAACTAGGAAGATCTATGATTATTTGTTGTATGAAGGTTTTATATCTAAGCCACAGTAAATAAATAAGCATAACTTTTTTATATCAACCATTTTCCTTTTATTTTATCTATGGTTTTTAAGATCCTTGACCTTGATTATAGATATATTAATTCACTTGTTATAGCCAGCTCCTATTGATTGTAGCATGATGCCTTATAGCCTATAGGCTATTCGAGTATCCTCCTTGATAGTCAATACTCATACAAGTCATACATTCATAAATGTACTATCCAACACAAAAATAAATATCAATTCAGATCAGAAGTTCTGGAGATAAGCACGTCCAAACAAACAAAACTCTTCAACTTTATAATAAGTGGAAGTAGTAACTTCTGCTAGCGACTTCGCTCATGTTCCGGTAGAATCAAAAGTAGCCAATGTATTATTCAAGACCATAATCCACTCCTGTTCCAAATATCATCCCAATCCCTTCAGACGTTTTTAGATGGAGTAACTAACAAACGAACATTCAAACTTACACATGAATACTATAGTAGGAATTCAGATTATAATAGGTACTCACTTTGAAACCAAACTTCTGATACAGAAATATGGCAGGATTCGTCGGTGACACATGCAGGGTTACATCTTTGCCTGTGCAAGTCTGAAATAAAACATACATTAATATGACATCGAGTTTTCTAGTTACCAAGATCCATTGGGTGAAGAAACCTAAATACCCTAAGACACAATAGATGGCGTCGATACCGCACTGTTGTTACTTTCGAAAATATTTTGAATGCAAAATGAGAATTTGCTCAGCAATGCTTCTATTTTGAGAGCTATTATTGTTTTTTTTTTCTTTATATTTTGTACCTGTAACAAGTGATATAACATGAAGGTGGCAATCTTGGCGTTCCTCCATTCTGGCCGCGTGAGTACGAAGGAGATGTAGGCCTCGTTGTGGCTGACGTCAGGCACGAGGAAGGCGCAGCCGATCACCAGCCGCTTGTACGTCACCACGCAACTGAATTCCGGATACTGGAGCGCTTCTGTTACTGTTGCGGACAAATATACAAGATTTTTTGAAAGGAAAATTATTTAAGCTCTTTTATAGCTACCTAAAGTATCACATATACAGGAGGAGATCAATGTGGTCAATACTTTAGGAGTGCCGACACCGCAAGTTTGAGACTCGGAGGTCATCGTTCAAGGCCCGGTGTCGTCGCGTAGGGTTTTGGGAATGTCAAAAAATTCAAAATATTTATAATATACTTACAATCAATACCCGGCCAGAAGAACTGCGCGCAGAGATTGTTGACGGCGGCGATGTGCTGCGGTCTCACGTATGAGTAGTCTATGGTGGCGCGCGGAGGAGGCTCGTAGTCTTTTACGTGTCTGCAAATAAATAACAGTATTTTTTATATATGTATTTAATTTTTTGGTCTTTATAGGGGTGTTTATTGATTATGAAAATAAATTATTTGATATGCAATTTAACTGAATACTGAATGGTAAGAAATTCGACATACCTATTGGTCCTTCTAAGAAGTTCATCAGTGAGTTTCAGCCAGGTTGGGGCGGAGTCTCCATCCCTTCGTATGTAGGGCTTCAGTGTGGCCCCAGAGTATAAGGACCGGTATGGCGTCGGCTCAATGTCTGACAGAAGCAGAGTCCCGTAGTTCGTACTGGCTATTGTCCCGCTAAGATTGTCTATCAAATACTGTAAAAGAATTATTTTATCATATGAACTTGAAAGATATAGAGAAAAGCTTTATATTTCGTTGCATCTATTTTACTTACCGATCTTTGGAATCGGTCGAGTACTCTTTCTGAATTGACAACAGTCCTTGGGTCTTCACTCACGTAACCACCCAATATTTTTACTTCTCTGAAAAATTTAATAATATTCGGTATACATTTTATATACATATTCTAGGCTGTTAATATATATAACATATATACAATAATGTTACTACTTACTTGTCCAAATCAAATACTGGTAAATGTTTATGTCTCTTCAAGCGTCTCAGTGCCAGTTTAGCTCTGAGTCTGCTCAAGTACCCCTTCTTATTCGGATCTTTAACCCTCAGGATCAAATTGTCTACTTTCTTCAGAAGTTGTATTTCTTCATACTGTGTCATCTCTACTAGATCAGGTTCTGACTTCGGAAGTGGGTCTTCCCAAGGGTTATCTACAGAATTGAGTTCAGTGGAAAAGAGAGATTCCCTTCTGATTGGTTTTTCTTCTATGATCGGCTTTTTTGGTCTTTCAAAGACTTTCCTGGTCTCTTGTTCGGAGCCACTGCGCGAGTGGGAGTCTGAGTCGTACATCATGTACGGTTGGAACGAGTGGATGCTTGAAGAATCACTCTGCAAGGAAACATTATTGTTTTATAAATTATCTTCTTTTTTATGGCATAAACCGATAAATGAGCAGGTGGATCACCTGATGATAAGTCATTGGCGCCACCCATGGACACCCGGAACACTAGAGGCGTCACAAGTGCGTTACCAGCCTTTTGGGGTTAGGAATTTTAGGATTGTTGGGGATTCAGGGGAGATTGGGAAGGAGGTAACCTCATTCCGGCCTCCGGTAACCTCACTGATACGTTTTCTGTAAGGTGGTTCTGGGCCCGTGGTATCACTCCGGTGGATCCGGCCTATTCTAAATTAAACATTAGATAACATAGTGTGGGAGAGCCATGCTTTGGCATGAATGGGCCGGCTCGACCGGAATAATACCCCGTTTGCACAGAAATCCGACGTGAAACAACGCTTGCGTTGTTTCACGTCGTGTGAGTGAGGTTACCGGAGGCTCAATTACCCCCCTCCCTAGTCTCGAATCCCCTAATCCTCCAAAATCCTCAAATTCCCAATTTCCAAAAGGACGGTAACGCACTTGTAACGCCTTGGTGTTTCGGGTGTCCATGGGCGGCGCCGATTGCTTACCATCAGGTGATCCGTCTGCTCGTATACCGGATTATGCTGTAAAAAATGTACATGTTTTCTAGTTAGTGGTTAGAATACATAGAAACTAGAAAACTTACTTGCGCTGGTACTAGATGGTTGGAGGGTGCAAAGTCGAACCCTTTGAATTCCAAGTCAGAGTAAGGATCTTTGTGTGTCAACAGGTTTAGCTGGTCGTCATATACATACTCGTCTGCCAATTCGTTCCTAGAAAGGGTTTTGCCATTTGGATATATAATATAAATCTATTAGATCACAATGAATGTTAATCATAATCCATGTCAAAGGTGTTAATTTATAACCTGACATTATATCATATATCACAGTAAATACAGTGATTATAACTTAAAAACAACATCGGAAACTTGAAAACAAATATGGTCATTATCCTCTTTTTAGTCCTAAAGATCATTTAAAAAGTGCATTCTTATCCTACCTGCCGTCTGAGTCCTGCTGGTCATAGAATGAAGTGCTGGAGACTCCACTTAGCTCATCGGAGTCAACCCTTCTCTTCTTGCATGGTACAGGATCCGACGGTGGCATGCACAGACTGCTCTCATTGTTGATCAAGTCTTTATATCCTGTGAATATTTTGTAATAGTAAATTTTTTGGCTTTAATTACTTAGACGATAGTTACACTAAGTTTTAAGACATGTCGCGGAGAACCTAACGGGTAACCGGTGCTCCGGCTCGACGTGCAGGAAAAGGAACGGGGTGGTTTTTTGTTAGTAAGAGTCTGACACTCCCTCCCGCCTCACCCAGGCGGGAGCAGTCATTCGATGATTTTCCCCCCTTAAAAAAAGCTTTAAGACATTCGCTGCTATTTAGCAGGTAGCAATTGCTTATACAGTAAATGGTGACTGAAGTTAGCGTACAGTTTACTTTTAGCAATATTCTTTTATCAGTTTATAACTTAATATTGTACTTGAATATCTTATGGTAAAGTAGTTTTATTTATTGTTATTCAGATTTTAGATCAATATAAGAATGCAATATTTAAGAGAATCAATTTTGAAAGAACAAATAGTATTATTATATACTCACCCATTTCAGTAACTTTGGCCAAGAAGAGGTTTTTATCTATGGACGGCTGATTGCGTGGTCGGACTTTAGGTTTGTCTTTAGAGACTTCTTGTACTGGAACACAAAATTAAAATAGATTAGTAAAGCCTGCGACTTTGAGTGCATAATATGAATTTTACAAGACAACAATTTTTTGTTTCAATTTTCCTAAGTAAAAATTGCCTGTCCTTAGTACATCAGCTATGGTCCAGCCATTACAGATATTAGCCAGTACTACCACACAGACAGACAGACAAAAATTGTAAAAAAAAAATATTTTGGCATGTATGTATCATATGTATATTCATATGTATGTAATAAAATGCGGTTATTTCAATATTACAGATAGACATATCTGTATAGATAGAGTATAGATAATTATATTATTTGTTTGATAATAGTGATAGTAAAATGATACGAAAAAGGTAGAACATATAGTTAGATAGAGGAAACTGGTATTAAAAGAAAATCTTACATATATGTGCAGCCACTGCGGGTGAGAAGTTGTGCAGGAGCTTCCACCAGCCTGTCTCCCCGAGCACTGCGGACCCAGACTTGAAGAACAGCTTGTTGTACACCGACAACACCCCTGCTATCGTGCCCACCCAATTCTTTTTCTGTTTGCTGTGAAGAAGCAAATAATGTTTAAACATAGCTTACTTAAATATGGGCAAGATTACATATTTTTATTTAATTATTAAGTTTGTAATTGTATATCTATTCAGTATGCACTTTACCTTTTAAGGTACAGGTTTCAGGTGGATACAGCAATAAAATATATATCTTAGTATCCTTGAGACATCATCAAGACCAGATATAGTTTTGCACAATTTTCCACCTACAGTTTGATATAAAATCAAAACTATCAAGTATCTAAAGTTTGTTAAAATTAAAGTGAATAGAATTTTGTTTATGGTTTATACAAATAGATGGTGATTGGTGAATTATCAAAGGTAGTGTACTTACATCTGCGATCCAAAAAGTGCCTGCCAATACCGATCAATGAAGGAGCAGATATGTGTCTTGTAGTGGAAGTAGCCATGGTTGCTGATGCCGTACGACTGTATGTTCAGGTGGTGGAGAGTTAGATATATTACGCTGACCCTACAAACATAGTTACTTAGTCATATACCACCCCAATTCTGAATTAACAATAAATAAGTAAGTTAAATATTTACCAGGGAAACCTGTTCCTTTTGAAAACTTCTCGGTTGGTTAGGGAGCAATCCTCACAAACAAAATCAAAGAAAACATCGCAAGCAAAGTCACCAGGCGTGCTAGATCTCCGGAGGCAGTTAATATGTACGTAAGAAAAACAATTTCCGCACACAAGACTGGGTCGATCCTGTTTGTTTTCCGGTTCACTGCAATATTTGCATGCAGTACTCAGTGAACTCATCACTGCATCTGGTATAACAACAGCACCTTCTGGCGGTACTGACATGGTTTATACTACTTTATAAATGAAACGAGCAGCAATAACAAATCGAATCCAAACAACAAACAAACATAACCTCGAAACTCACGATCACGATGACAAT